GTCAAATTAATAAAATCTTTAAAAAAAAAAGAATTAAAAAGAAAATTCCCATTAGTAAAAAAAAAAAAAAGTAAAAGAAATCACACTCAGACCTCAACTGATTAGAGGCGAGCAATTCATAATCAGGTAGACATTTTCATTCACTTACTTTTAAAGGAAAAGATGTTCATTACAGAAAAAGTTGAGAAACATAGAAGAGTTGAGAGCAAAACAAAACTTAACCGTAATTTTACTATCCAAAATTCGGTCAGTTTGTTTTTTTAGAAGAAGGGATCATAGTGTATTTAGATTTGTGTCCTCCTTTTAAACTTATAGTGCAATATTTTGAGCACTTTGATGCCTTCAAGTTATTAAGAATAATGTTTGTTAGGTAACACTCCATGATTCCACCCTTGCCCCTATTCTGATTATTCTGAACCCAGGACCAGAGAGAATCCATTCAGTTGAAAGTTGTATCATGTTCCTTCTCTATTCAAAACCCTCCATGGCTCCCATCTCACTCAGACTGAGCCATTGTCCCTATCATCTGTGCTCTCTTCCAACTTTATCATTTCCTCTCCTACTACCATCCTTCCTTGTTCACTCTGCTTCAGATGTCCCATTCATGGCCCCTGCACTGAGGCCTGTGGACTTGCTGTCCTTCTGCCTCGAGGTCCTTAGTGTTTGCACTCTGCTTCCCCTGGGTCTTCACTCAAATTTCCGCTTCCCAGTGAGGCTTTCTCTGTCCTCTCTACCTAAAAGCGCAACCTCCCCCTGGTTTTTTTCATCCCTTCAGTGATTTTATTTTGGGCTTTAATATTGATGACTAATATCTACACGTATTATTTATCTTATTCACTGTCTGTTTTTCCTCTTTTGGAAATTAAGCTCTTTCATGTCAGAGATCTTCATTTTGGTTGCTTCTATGCCCCAATATCCAGAGCGGGTCTCATAATTCTTTTATGTGTGAATGAGTCTGTCTATGACATTGCCCATAGTGTTGAGCATTTGGACTGCTTGTCTTTTCCTTCCTTTCTCTTTTGCTATCAAGTATACGACTGCAACGAATAATGAATAACTAATCCAAAACTATTTTTTCTCTCATTGTTACCCATAGTTATATCTTAGAAGTAGAACTGAGTGAGCCAAGTGGGATGGATATTTACTCAAGAAAACTTCTGGGAGGAATGAGTTTTGATTTACAGAGGAGTTGTAAAGGTAGTGCAGAGAGTTCATGCGTTCCCTTTCCCTAATTTTGACATCTTCCATGACCATGGTATACTTCTCAAAAATGAAGACATTAACACTGAAGACAATGCTATTAACCAAACTCCAGACTTCCCTGGGATTCTCAGGTTTATCCATTAATGTGGTATTCTGGCCCAGAATCCAATGTAGACTACCAGTCTGCAGCTAGGAACAAATACTTTAAAAACCTTCATGTGTAGTCTTAAATTTTCTCCAGAAATATAGTTTCAGTGTAATTGCGAACAGCAATATATGAACACTTCTCTCTAATCAATATTTGATATTTTCCTTTTAAGATGTATCTTTAAAATTTCATGGGTAAAAAATGGTATCTTACTGTTTTAGTTGCATTTTCAATGAATTTAAACATTCTTTCATACATTGGTCATTGGTATTTCCAAAATTTTGTGTGTCTTTCACCTATTTTTGTTTACTTTTTTAGTAGGCTCCATGCCCAATGTGGGGCTTGGACTCCCGATCCTGAGATCAAGAGTTGCATGTTCTATCCACCAACACAATCAGGAAGCCCCTCCCTATTTTTAAAACTGGATGTTCCATTCACTGAGTTATAAACAATCTATATATTAGGAATATTAAATTTTTGTCAAGACTGATATAATTATTTTTCATGATTTGCCAACTGTCATTTTAGAACACGAGTATTCCCTTTTTATGTCATCAATCTACTGTGCTTTGTATTTGTGATTGAATCTATTTTTTTATTAACATACAATGTATTATCTGTCCCAGCGGTACAGGTCTGTGAATCATCAGTCTTAGACAATTCACAGCACTCACCATAACACATACCCTCCCCAATGTCCATAACCCAGCCACTCTATCCCTAACCCCCAACCCTGAATCTATTTTTTTATGCTTAGAAAAGTAGCTCCCATTCCCATATCAAATGTTTCATAGATGGATACTTACATATATAGAATATATATACATACAATATTGTTTCTGCTTTTTAGACTTAACTCTTAGATTTGGGTATATGAAAAGAGAGAAAATATGTTATTCTTTTTTTTAATTTTTATGTAATCAGCTATCTTTAAGCTGTTCTCATTTTTAAAAAAGAATTAATTAATTAATTAATTAGTCACAGAGACAGAGAGAGAGCACAAACAGGGGGAGCAGCAGGCAGAGGGAGAAGCAGGCTCCCAGCTGAGCAGGGAGCCTGACATGGGGCTCAATTCGAAGACCCTGGGATCATGATCCGAGCCAAAGGCAGATGCCTAACCAACTGAAAATGTGTTATTTTAATTTTCTAAATAATTAACCAATTGCCCTAGCACTTTTTAAATATGATATTATTTCCTGTTCCTTCATGGTGTCATGTCACTTTCATACTAGAGGATATGGTTTTATTATCTCTATTCTGTTTCACTGATTCATCTGAATATTCTGATGTTAGTATAAAACTGTTTAGTGATTCATTTTTTTTAAGATTTTATTTTTTTGAGAGAGAGACAGAGAGAACACAAGCAGGGGGAGGGGCAGAGAGGGAGAGGGAGAAGCAGACTTCCTGCTGAGCATGAAGCCCCCTTTGAGGCTCAATCCCAGGACCCCAAGATTATGACCTGAGCTGAAGATAGACCCTTAACCAACTGAGCCACCAGGCACCCCTAGTAATTCATTTATTTTAAAAAAGATAGTATTGACCCAGAAATAAAAAGCTCATATATATGGTCAAATAATTTTCAACAAGGATACCAAGACCATTTGAGAGGCAAAAGATAGGCTCTTCAACAAATGGTGCTGGGGAACCTGTGTGACCACATACAAAAGAATGAAGTTAGGCCTTACCTTACATCACATACAAAAATCAGCTCCAAATGGGTCAAAGACCTAGACAAAAAAGCTGAAACTAACTGTAACATTCTTAGAAGGAAACAGGGGGAAGTTTTGTGACACTGGACTTAGCAATGATTTCTTGATAGGACACCAAAGGTATGGGCAATAGAAGAAAAAATAGACACATTAAACTTCATCAAAATTAAAAACTTGTGCATCAGTATTTTTAAACTGGCAGGAGGTGGAGCAGATTGTAGGAGCTGAGAGTTTAAAGAAACGGAGTAACCATAAATAATAAGGAGGGCTTGGAGGAACAGGGTGATGAGTTTAGGCAGTGTTGTGTGGGCTGCTAGAACAAAAATACCAGACTGGCTGTCCAATAAATAACAAAAATGTATTTCTTACAGTTTTGGAGGCTGGACGTCCAAGATCAGGGCAGAGGATCTGCTCAGAGCCGACTTCCTGGCCCACGGACGGCTGTCTTCACATGGCTCCTCACATGGTGGTGAGGCAAGGGAGCTGTCAGGAGCCTCTTTTGTAAGGACTCTAAGCCCTTCATGAGGGCTCCACCGTCATGACCTAGTCACCTGCACAAGGTCCCACTCCAAACACCATCACACTGGGATTAGGCCTGAATATATGAATTTAGGGGGGACGCACAAACATTAGGCTACAACAGGGAGTTCTCCAGAAACGCCACTTTTGAGAGGAGGTGACCTCTGAGCTAGGACAGCAGGAGGAAGAGTGGGACAAGGAAAAAGCTGTCAGTGGGCTCATCTGTAGGCAAAATCCACAGGTTGAGGTATTTAAAAAAAATTCTTCTCCCAGAGCTGAGAAGTGTTAGACAAATACTCACTACTTTGCCACAGTAGGCTTCTGTAGATTCATCCCTCCCTCAAATAAGGCTGGATTTGGGCGTGGGAAATCAGAAACCTGAGGGGCAGCACAGTCCTGAAAGTAATTGTGTTCTGAGGGGGAGATTTTTTTTAAATTTTATTTTTTATAAACATATATTTTTATCCCCAGGGGTACAGGTCTGTGAATTGCCAGGTTTACACACTTCACAGCACTCACCATAGCACATACCCTCCCCAATGTCCATAATCCCACCCCTCCCAACCCCCCTCCCCCCATCAACCCTCAGTTTGTTTTGTGAGATTAAGAGTCACTTATGGTTTGTCTCCCTCAC